CTGTATCATTCGCAGGATGCATAGAAAAATTCGATTTCACTATATTATTATTATTGCAACGTAATATGCATTACGTTTACATGGTATATATTAAACAGTAAGAGAAACAGAAAATTCATAAGATTTTTAATTCAGCCCTTCGGCCTTCCTTGTAAAATTATCAAGTGACTGGTCTGTATGAAATTTTCCTCTCATCGTAAATAATGATTGTACTCTACCACAAACCACGCAAACACTAAAGCTTATTAATGTGTATGAATATAAACAGCTTGTCCATGCTCAGTAATAAGCGATTCGAGACAGGAATCCGCACGCATGCGCCAGGTAGCCTGTCAGTTTCATGTAAGAGCGTTAAAATGCTTGTGAGCAACATCGATGCATTAAATATAATTTTTATAACTTGAATTTTTCATAGCCAGTTCACGATACGTATGTCCGAATTTAAATAAGTCGGGATCCGTTTGTTTTTCAATGCTTTTCTGGGAAACGGTTTTTGAGTTCAAGGAGATTTTTGTTTATTCTTTTTTGGAACACTGGAACCTTTTTCTTTTAGTCGCCTGGGGTGATCCTTTAATCAGGTTAGAACTACATGGTATTTGAGGCGCTTGCAGTGCGTCGGATTCATACACCATGACGTTCAGTCGGAACACTTGAACTTAAACGTGTGACTTGAAGTAAATTAATGATCTGACCATATAGTGTTTGAAGGCCCTCATACATTACATAGCGTTTCACTCTTTACACCAATATTGCGGTAGTGTAGGATGGATAGAATTTATTACACCTGACTGTACTGCTACATCGCGCAGCCCATTTTTCGTACTGTTTAAGCATGTTCCATGGTATTAAGCGCCTTCAGTGCATAGGACGTACACACCGCGTTACTGAGTCGCGATGCATCAACTCATAGCATGTATGTGAATACTTACGTAGGTCTATAAAATCGTAATTTACCATAATGGTTCGTTGATGCGCATAATATGTTTTTAGTCCGTTAGAGGACTATTGACAGTTTTCTGTGTATAATTGGCTTCTTCCTGTTCAGAGCTTCAGAATACTTTTTAGTTTATATTATAACCTATTCAGCTTCTCATGGAAGATTATAGGCCAGGAGCTAACATTATGTTTGCGTATCCGCCTCGAACAATGCTTTTCTTGATTCATAAAAGTACATGTATCTAATGTTCCCTTCAGAGTCAAGATGTCGATGACTTGCGATAATCTCGGCAGCTCCTTTGGTACAGCTTTATTTAGCTCTACGTCTTTGTGAGAAAAGTTAATGTACGTCAATTGATTGTTTTAAACGAAATATATACCCCATCACATAAGATATAGCTTCTTTCAATTTGTCATCTTAATCAAGCGCATAAACGAAAGTTGAGTTTATCATCGTCAGAAACAAAGTTTTACCTTTGGTTTGTTTAACTTCTTCCGTTTCTCTTTAGGGTATGACCAAAGAGCAGCGAACCGCTGTCCATCAAGCTATACGTGCAAACTACCTGAACGCGTTAGAAAGTCGGACCATCACCAAAGACGAAACGGTGTCAATTGTGGTGGAACTGGCATCCAGTTAGTACATAAGATTGATGTTTGAGCGTCTGAGACGAAACGTATTTGAGCTGGCGGAGTGACTCGTCGTACGCAATGCTAGTCATACCTTTTGTTGTTAACTGCTGATTCATTGGAACAGGTTCGCGATAGCTCAGCTTCTGAACCGTAGCATTTAAATCTCATGATTAGGAATTCGGATCACTCACTTTTCGCCTTTCTGAGATATGCAGCTGCTAGGCACTATGCGAATAGAAGTTGTAAAGTATACCCTGTTTTCATTTATCATCTAGCTGCGTGTATCGATTTCGACCTGTTGCTGTATGACGCTATCGATCTGGCAGTTATACACATTAGCAATGAAAGGTTTTACCATAGGTTTTGTGTGCCGTTAGCCATAAATTGACAACACAACAGAAGAATTAATAAATAATTATATGTTGTA